ATAAATTGAACCAGAGTTTTTCAATAAAGAGGAGGAATGGAAACTAAATGATTAAGGATTATATTTCATAGGAGAAAAGAAAGAGCTGATAAAATGAAAAACATGTTAAAGCAAAAGTATCAGTATATCTACATAGCAAAATAAATGTATCTCTGCATCCACTGCCAAATATGTAGTCCAGATGAGTGCTATATTTCATAAAACTAAGTTTAAAACATGTTACCACAAGGACACCATCATCATTCAGACACCTCTCAACACATTTTTACCTCAGCATGACTGGGTAACAGGTGGTGACAAGATAGCTTGAATGTGGTACGGAGAGAAAGTTAACTTGGTTTTCACTGTGAGGGAAAAAAACAACACTAGTTTTCTTTAATTTGAAAGGATGGTCTCTAAAATAAAAACATACAGACTATGAATGTGTTCAAAGCTGTGTGTTTTCTATAAATCTTCTAAAGTTTTCTGTTACTATAGGTCTGTAAAGCAAAAGTTTCAAATTTTGTTCTGCTGATTATTAGGCCTAAAAGGCATATGGCTGTCACCTTTCCATAAAGTGATGCAATAAATCTCCTCTAATAATACAACAACCAGGGACAAAAGTTCTGTCGAATGTGTCTTCAAGTCTCCTCTGTGATATGAAGAAAATGTCTTAAGCTCTGTGGAAACAATCCCTTGCCAACCTAGTAAGTTCAACACGTCAGTAGGGCCCCTATAAGAAGATGGCTCTGTGGCATGCGGTGTCAATTTTATACTTTAAAAAAATGCAATTAAGACTTCTTTAAATGTGGCGACTAAAAAAGATTTACTAAAAGCCAATGATCAGGTGTTCCTTTTTATTTCTAGATTACACATACATGATCATAGAATACACATTGTTTGAAAACAAGCAAAATGAAAAGTATCCTTACAAAAATATATATTTAAAAGTCCTTAGGTGACCCGATGAATCCATTACACAGTGGTGAATGGCTTTTTCAGAAAGGATTACTTGGCACAGTTTTCTATGGATGTGCATTCAGGCTTCTCAATTCCTCTGTAAATTCATTCAGTAGAATTAAGAACAGGAATGTAAAATCTGGGGCAAATACACAAATTTGCTTAGGGGTAGAAGCATGGAGAAAAAGTAAGGATGGGAGATAACCAAGAGAAAGAAAGTAGAAAGACCGAGATTTTTGCAAAGCAAAGCTCCCCCAAATACACTAGCCTAAAAATGAGTTCTCTCCAATTCCTATTCTCAACCTGATGTTTCACTCCAGAGCAGGGTTTGGAGGAAATGTGAATGAGATAATAAAAACCTTCCCTTGTGTCTTTAACTTTTAGAAAGAGTTAATGTGCCATCTTTTAATGACCTGCATAGTTACCCTTAGTCATTAGCATGTAGATTCTTTTCAGCAAATGTGTTCTCCACATGCCATTCCCCTCTCAACACCCACTCTTATTTACTGCTTCATAACCTCCAACTTCCAACAGTTGGTGGGAGCAGGAAAAAAAAACATGAAAGGGAAAAAAATGACAGCTGGTTTCAGTGGAAAGAACACTAGAACTTCTTACCCGGTTTTTACTGGTTTTACCCAGTGGCATGTTGGAGTTGGCTTATACCCGCTCAGAATCAGTTACATTTTTACGATTTTGTGAGCCAGTTGTTAAATTAGAGCAATTATTAAAATTAAATAATATAAACTTAAATTTAAGTAAATAATATTAAAACAGAGGTACTAAATATTTAAAACATATCCCTTTCTATTTTACTATCTTAGTTTCACCATGCTTTTGAGGTTATTTATGCCTATTTTATCTGTATGCTAGAAATGCTATGTAATGGTGTACCTAAAACTGGCCAAGGTGGGAATATTTACACCAAAGAAATTGGCAAATGCTAAAAATCAGGGTGTAACTCTGTTCTGTTGATGATCTAGGCTTCAGAAAGCCATGGAGAATGTTTTCTAGTAACATATATTAAACCTAAAATGTGTCATGTCATTATCCTGTCAATAGCACACAAAAAAACTGAGGAAATTTTCCAGCATGTGAAAATGATTACCCAACTCAGCAAAGAAATCTGCTGAAAGAGGAGGTCATTGAGAGGACATGACTGCCAGTTGACCCTGGAGCTGGACCAGGACTATACAAGCCTCCTTACTCCTTCCCCTGTCCTTGGAATATACATCTTGCCCATTGTTGGTGTCATTTCAAGGACACAGCCTTGAGAAAGCAGTGTGCTATTCAGACCATCCAGATGATATACCTGAGTGAACCCAGTGAAGGGCTCTGTTAAGTTTCTAGAAGGTGGGGCAATGACCTACTCATCTTGTAGCAACTTCATGTGTAAGTTACCTTGCTTATGAAATCTACCACTTACCAATCTGGAGTGGCCTGCCTCTTCCTTCAGTCTCTCCTCCTTTCCCTATATAGGGCCAGTTCTGAATTTCACCCCAGAAGTTTCTGAGGTTGTGAACCAACATCACATCACTGATGGAGTGAAATTCCAGTACTGGCTTCCTTGTTTCACTTTCCTATTACCCCTCAAAGTAAATAAAGACATCATCCAGCATTCATATCAGAACTACAGAACCAAGTGTTAACCAAATTCAACAAAAAGATCTGCAGCATTAAACTGGCTATATAAAATTTATGATAAAGAACATTACATATATTAGTAGCCATAGTAATATTAGTCAAGTGAATGCTACACATTCTTTAAATACACGCTACATAGTGTATTATACAGTATCATAATGTAATAATGTATGTAATATAACACATACTTGTTTTGTTTGAGATCCAATTATTAAAGGTTTACCGTCACCCCTGTCTACCATGAGAAAACTATTGATTTGGAAAAGTTGTTTAACTCTGAGTATTATCTTCCTTATCTGTCAACTAGTGATATGAGTGCCTTCCTCAGAGGATAATTTTAGGAGTAAAATAAAATAGTTTATGCTAAAACCCTGTGTGGATTACAAATGTTAATTATTATCAAACATTCAGCAAATACATTTCAGCTCCTAATATGAGCTCTCTTAAGAATTCTCAAGTTTTGCAAAGATGAATAATGTTTAATCCTTCTCCTCAGGTTGCTTACAGTCTAGAGATGAGAGAGGCAAATAAAATGATATAAGAAGATGAAATGTGATCCAACAGAGAAAAAAGCAAAGTGCTATGCAACTCGAGGAAAAGAAGTGAATGCTTTTACCTGGAGCACCAGGGAGCACTTCACTGAGAAGGTAGAATTATGAGGTAAGTTTTGAAGAGTCATTTGCAGTTGTACCAGTTGAGATGGTGTATGTGGAAAGGGGAGGCATTCCAGGCTAATAGATGAAACACCAAACATATCATCATCACATGTATTATAATACCAACTAAGGAAATCATAATTGTATTGATAAATCCACTGCATCAAAACCCCTTACTTGTTATTTCCAGGTACAACAGAAAGAATTATGCCATTATACATTATGCAATCCAGTGTGCCTAACGATAATCTTGCATAGTCAAGAGTTGACTAAATATTTATTCAGTTTTTTCCAATTTATAAGCCATGTTCATTTCTAAGAACCGAAGTGTAAATTATCCTAAGACCTTCTTTCCTTAGTGAAAGAAAACATTCATGTACAGGTGATTTTTTAAGTTATTTTTCAGGAAACTCCTCTGTATAATATGTCCTCAACAGGACAGAAGGGACTAGCCTATAGACATAAAGAAAACTTGCCCCTGATTGCAATTCTATAAATACATAAATCATGCACCTGTTACGTAAACAATGAAGAACAGGTCTAAAGTGAGGTTTTAATGGGAGAGTGGAACACTGAGGCAAGAGAAAAGTGAAACCTTTTAATACATTCATGGGAACAAGGGCTAACTATCAAAGAAAGAGCATTATTTCATCTCTCAGTTAATGAGTCCTGCAAGGGTTGACATTACTCAGTAAAGTTCACTGAAAAATTTTCCCCTTGCTAGTCAAAATACACTAATGTTTGTGACTTTAAAAAACAACATTTTGAAGAAAGCTTGGCCAAGCATGTACAGAATTTAAGTGTAAAAGGAGAAGATGTCTATGAATCTTTCACACACACAAGTCTGACATGATGGGTCTGTAGCCTTGACCTCAAGTGACAACGGAACAGACCACAGATCCAGTCTAAGTCCCTATAGGACATATGTTAGAAAAGCACCCCCCCACACACACACACTGAAATGAAAGCTTTTTTCCCCTTCACTCTGGATCTCTCACCTCCCAGTACATGCTCTCCCTCGGCAAGCCACCCTGCCAATGGAGCCTTCCACTCTGTTCTCTCCCTGATGACAACTGTCAGTCTGTCGCTGTGTGAACCTGCAACATTTCAACAAAATCTAAAAGGAAATTGATAGCGCAGGGGCCGAAATACTCTGTTTAAAACCACACAGCCAGACCTCCTCCCTGGAGATCCAAGCCTCCTCAAGCACCACCTTTCAAACTGCTGAAGGTAAGAATCACCCTAGTCTTAACTATAAGAGTTAAAGCGGTTTCTGTCTGCTCAGAACCTGAGCACTCGCAAGCACCTTCTAATTAAACAACGTTACTGGAAATCATCCCGAGAAGAAAGAGCCCACAAGCCCCGGGGAAACTTCAGCAGGAAAGCGGAGGGTGCTAAAGCCAGCGGTCCAACCAGGGGTGGGGTGCGGGGGCGCGGTGCGGGGAAATCGCTCACTCTCCCGCGCCGCCGCAGCGCCCCCGGACCTCCAAGGCGACGCCCGCAGGGTGCGCGGAGACCCCCCGAGCGCGGGGCCAAGAGGGAGAGACCGCGCCCTCCCGCAGGCAAGGGCGATCGGTTGAGCGCCGGGGGCGGGAGGGCTGTGAGAGTCCGGGCGGCGGGGAGGCGGGAGCCGCCAGGAGCTCCGAGCTCACACGCCCACCCGGCGCCAGGGAGGTGCGGGTCCGAAGGTCCGCTGAGAGGGGCCGGGAAGGCCGGTCCCAGGGCAGGCGCGGGTCCCGGGACTGGGGCGCGCGGGGCACTCACCAGCTGCAGCGCGCAGAGGCAGATGAGCGAGCAGCGCCCGGTGCAGCAGCCCATGGTGCCGGCGGCGTCCGAGCGGCGCGCGCGGGGAGAGATCTGCGTCCTCCGGCGCCGCGGCTCCCGACTCCGGAGCAGCCCCCGCCCGGCGCTTGCCCGGCCCGCGGCCGCCGCTCGCGCCTCTTGGGGTCTGGGCTGGCGCACCGCCTTTGTTAGTTTCCCGGGCGGGCAGAGGTCAGTCCGGCGCGCTCGACCCGAGCGTCTGGCGGGGTCCCTGCCTCCCACTGTGCAGGTCTGCTTCTTGGGGAGGGGGAGCCGGGCGGGCGGGGCGGGGGGCGGAAGGGAGGCTACAGATGGTGAGTGGGTGGAAGTCTGTTTAGGGGAGGGGAGTATGAGGAGGTGGGCGTCTGAAAAGTGGAGTGGGCTGTCTGGGTTGGGGTGTGTTGTGTGTGTGTGTGTGTGTGTGTGTGTGTGTGCGCGCGCGCGCGGTGGGAGGCGATGAATGAAAGGGAGTGCCGCTGAGGAGGCTCAGCCAGTCTTGTTAGGAGTCTTTGGAGAGAGAGAGGCTGAGGGAGACGGAGAATGAGAATGATGAATATGAATGAGCGTGAATTGGGGCGGCTGGCGGTGGTGGTAGAGACCTTCGGCGGCGGGTCCAGCTGGGGAGACCCGGCCTGGGCTTTCTCTCTGGGGTTTGCGCTGGGGCTGGGGAGGGCCCTCAGAGGCGTGTGTAGAGGAGGGGACTGGGTTTTGCTGAGCTGCCCGAGAGGTGGAGAGGGTGGGAGTCGAGAGGGCTTGGCGTCCGGAGAAGCAGGTCCCAGAGGCGAGCAGCCAGGGGCGGTGGGGCGAGCGTCGCACAGCGCCGGGCGGAGCTCCGGGACCCGAGGCTGCGAGCTCGGGCGGCCGGAGAGGAGCGGGCTGGCGGACGCTGCGCTGGCGCGTCTACTCCGCCCGACTCTGGGAGCGCGGCTCGGGGTTCCCGGGGCCGGGGACGCTCCTGCCCGCCGCAGTCGGTTGCTCAGAGGGCGCCCCTGCTGGAGCCTGGGAGCCAAAGTTGGAGCGAGTTGGCGTGGCCAGAGGCGAGGAGGCGGCAGTGAAGAGCAGCGCCGGCCGGAGCGCGGGGCGAGCCGGGACGCCACGAGGAGCTCTGTTTTGGGTTTCCCAACTAAGGGCTCTTTGAAATTGTCGCCAGGCAGGAGAGGAGACGAAGCGAGAGAGAAGAGGATGCGTGTCTGTTTTCGAGGAATGGAGAATATTTCCGCGATGAGGATGTGATTTCTCCTCCGAAAAAAACTGAGAAAGGGTTTGGAAATAAGACCTCGTCCCAGTGAGAGTTAAAATCCCAGACTAACTCTCCATGAATCCCAAGGAGACTCTCTGGCTCTGGCTCGCGTAATAGAAGAGAGCAGAGGAGGCCTGCCGCGGATCAAATGTCTTGGGGCCCAATGTCAAATTTCATGGGCACCTTTGCTGTACGTACCTGGTGGAACTACTCTAGTCGCTCCAGCACGCTGCAAGAGCAGGGAGCAAGCCTCCGGGCCATTTGTCACAGAAGAGGCTTTCTTCAGGACTTGGCACAGAAACCCGGTTTCTAACCTAATGCTGCTCTCCTGGGTCCTTCGTGGTAGGTTAGCAGGAAAGGGAGAGATCTTTGCATTTTTAAAACATTCACTCTTCACATGGAAACGATGCTCAGGTCATTCCTGCAGGCATGAAAGGGAGTTATAGGCTGTTTTGTTTTGTTTTGTTTTGCAATTTACTGCCTTTTTCCGGACTGTTCCTCCAGGACCTACATTTGTAACTGAAAACAGTTCTAGCTCCCAGAAAAATCTTTGCATGGTAACTTTGAAATTTTAATAGGGACACAGAAATAACCTCAGGATTTGGGACCATAAAAGGGCCAAAAACATTCATTGTTTAGGTTCCACTTCTGTCCATTATCACAGAGAAGAAGAAAATGGAGTCAGAAGCCTTTGTTGTTGTTACTGTTGTTGACCCAATCTTTAAGGCATCAAGGGATGAAGGACCAACATTTCTTTTATCAATAATAAATGTAACCATCACGATTTATGATGAATGAAAACAATAAGGAAAAATGGACCCTGACAAATAAATGATTTAGTGTATCTTAGAGGGCAGGACAGAAAGTTTCAGGCATCAGCCCCTCTGAAAGCTGTAGGAGGCAGCTGAAGAAGCAGAGGACATGAACAAGTCTATCTACAACTTCCAGAAATTATCATAGTCTCTTCGTCTCCAACGATTGTGATGGATGGTGATAATAAACATAGTGTCCCTGCTTTCTCTCCACCTTACATATGCTCTCCTCAAAATACATTTTTTTTATCATCATTTTATTTACTTATTTAGAAAGTATGAAATTTGCAGCCAGCACACCCTGGGTCCTTGCCAGGCACCAGTGTAAATGCCTTATGTATATTCACTTACTTAATCTTCACAAGAGCTAGGAGATCAGTGCACCACCTTGAGCATCCCCAGTAAAAGGATATGGAAATGGGAACAGGGAGTCTCATGGCTACTGAACGGATGAAAAGGAATGCAAAGCCAGGTAATCTGACTCAAGAGCTCCCTGATTTACACATTTACCACATTCACCATTGCCTCTCAAGCTTAGGACCCAAGAAACACCCCCACTGGAGCCAACCGCTCTCCGGAAGTAGGTATAATAATTTGCATTGACTCCACCTCCAGAGTCAGTACCACCCAGGCAGTGTCCTTTCAGGGGATCAATCCAGTCTTCCAGTATCTTTCCCTTTCCCACTGCCCCCTCTACTGATAGACCATGACTGGAGTTTCTTCCTGGAATCATTGAAGACAGTTGAAAATGCATTTGGCTTTCGAAGAGGGGAAGAGGGAAGAAGCAAAGATAAGAGGATGCTATAACAAGTCTAAAAATTGTGTGAAGTTACCTTTATTTTTCACTGCAGTCTCTTACTCTCATTTGCTAAATTGAACTGCTTCACGAACTAAAAATCTTCCTCCCTCCCTTCGTTTCCTTCCTTCCTCAATCATGTCTTTCTTGCTTCATTTCTACATTGCTTATTATGTCAAGGGCCATGCTGGTTGCCAGGTTTGCAAAGGTAAATGATATATTCCCTTGCTTCCCGTCAAGCGCTTGGTGGTGGGAAGAGAGAGCCGCGGAGTGAATGGAGTAGAGCCCAGTGTGAGGAAAGTTAGCACTGAGTGCTATCACTGAGTTTTCTTTCTGTGAGGGTAGGGAAGATTTTAAAGAAGAATTACCTGTCTCTTGGGGACAGGGGTGGAGAAGACAGTAGCAAATGACAGAACAATGGAAAGGGTGAGGTCTGGAGAGGACTGTGGATAAGCTGAGGAGGAAATGATAATCTAAGTAGAGCAGCTGATCCTGATGTGTGGGTGGTTATGCCACCTCCTAGCTATCAATTTCAGAGAAGTCACCTTGTTTCCCTCAGTCTAGCTTGCCTCTGTAAAGTAGGCATGACGGTATGACTTGCCCCAGAAGACTAAGGCTTACATTGTTCTTTATTTTCCAACCACATGTGCCTTACCCCTTCATGTCACGTAGGTCTCAGTGTCATGTCACATCCCGGCGAGGTCTCACTGACCACACTGTCTGAAATCACACTCCAGTCACTCTGCTGAATTTTCATTCAAAACAGGTTTTTGTTTACTTTATAATTTCCTGTCTCCTCCACTCAGAAATAATGTTAATTTAAATAATGGACACTTTTAGTATCAGAGCTCCCACATCATGTATACAGATATATTTATACACACATAAATGTAGCTGATGTAAGTACTAAACTTATGTGTATATATATATGCATACAGGACATTCTAGTCTGTCTTTTTCTTTCTTCTTTTTCTCAATTCTTAGTAAAATCCTTTTTTAGGGTTTTTTTGTTTTTTGTTTTTTTTTTTTTACTTACTTAAGTGAGTAAGTACTCTACACCCAACGTGGGGCTCAAACCCACAACCCAAGATCAGGAGTTGCATGCTCTTCTGACTGAGACTACCCAGCAGGTACACCTAATAAAATTTCTTTTGAGAGACTCTACTCCCATCTCCCTTAAAGTCCAGAGAGAATCAAATTGTCTATATCAAGAGTAAGAGGACTGGGTGGGAGGGAGCACATCTAGAGACCACACATAAAATGTAAATTTCTAAATTTCATAGGACTTTCAAACACAGTCAACCCTTGAACAACTCAAGGGTTGGGGCGCTGACTCTCCCCCACAGTCAAAAATCCAAGTATAACTTTTTAAAAGATTTATTTATTTATTTGAGAGAGCGAGAAATCAAGTGCATGAGTAGGGGAGGGGCAGAGGGAGGAAATCTTTGAGCAGATTCCACGCTGAGCTCAGAGCCCCTCGGGGCTTGATCTCATGACCCTGAGTTCATGACCTGAGCCAAAACCAAGAGTTGGATGTTTAAGCAACTGAGCCACCCAGGCGCCCCAACTTTTGACTCTTAATAGCCCACTAAGAAGCCTTAGTGATTACATAGTTGGTTAACACATATTTTGTATGTAATATGTGTTATATACTGTATTCTTACAATTAAGTAAGCTTGAGAAAAGAAAATGTCATTAAGAAAAGCATAGGAGGAGAAAGTACATCAACAGTACTGTTCTGTAAAGAATCCATGTGTAAGCAGATCCCCAGAGTTGAAACTCGTGTTGTTCAAGGGTCAACTGTACAGGGATTGGATTCATGAGCTTGAAGGAATTAAAAGTGCCACCTTAATTATTTCACTTTTTTTAAAAGTCTTCTAGCTCTGCATTTTTGTTCGACTAAGATAATGTACAGTCCGCTCAAGCATTTTTCTATCTTCACTGAGAAAAGTTGTTAAACGTGCCACGAAATATGTACTTTTTCTTTAGCACCTGCTTGATGATGGGCCCCTTCTTTGGCACCTTCTTGGAGCCAGCAAATTATAATTGTCTACACCTCTTCCTACAACTGGCTTCAGTTCATGATTAGAATAGACACTGTCCTAATTGACAGACACTGTACTAATGGTGTGACTGCTCAGTTTGAGCAGAGATCAAGTTTACACTGGAGCAAAATTTGGAGACACACGTGTGCAGGGTTTGAAGCCTGGTTGTGAAGGCTTCAGTACACTTGTGTGGCCCAATGCCCATAGAGTTAGGTGTGATTCGAGGAATGCATAGCAGTGAATGTTCCAGAATGTTGAGGGTAAGGGTAGAGGGGGCAGTTATCATTTCAATATTCCTTTTCTCCCTGAGGAGAGAGATACATCTTGCTATTGAAAGCACTCTATATCACACCACTTAAAAGTGATCCCCAAAGGTTGTTTTATTGGGAGGTGAGGTGAGGAAGAAGGGGGAGTGGATAAGTGGTATGGAAGTTTTGAAGGTCGCTAGAAAGCCTGGAGGAGGCAAGAATTATGAAAGAGAGAGAGTGAGGAAGTTCCTTTGGTATATCTTGCTTCAGGAAATGTTGGTAATAAC